GTTGGCAGCTCGGCTCGATGGATGGTTGCCTGCTAAAATTAGCGCTGCAAATAGAGCATGTGACAGCGGGGGGACTACGGGGCGTATGAACACAAATGACACGGCTTGAGGCCAGCCCAACAGGAGAGGGGGGGACGGAGGGGGGTGGTGTATGAAATAGAGCCTACCTATGCAACGGGCAATTCCGCGAGCAAAGGGAAGGCAAAGAAAAATCGAATTGCCATGGTTTCACTTTTGGGCTAAATTTCACTTAAATGACACTTCAGAGAGGAAAAAAGAAAAGCGGGACGCTGTAATAGGAAGCGACAGACAATTGAAATTGATTTCGACTGCATCTTTAAACAGAATATACAAAATGCCATTTTTGACAAAGGACAGATGGTTTTACAGGTAAGCGAGGAGAAGGCGGACTTTGCTGAAGATATCTCGACAAACAGAACACAACAACTCATGCTACTCAGGCTGATTCTTCCAATAAAGATAAAGCTATGACATGGTGGTCCGATGTTGATAGGATTATGCCTTTGAGCAACAGACTAGCTTTTGAATTATAAAACAAATACCTGGAGAGGCGAAAGTTGCAGGTGTCGAGGAGTGCAGCTATCTGCCCAGCGGGAAGACCCACTTGCTCCTCTCTCGGCCCTCTTCAGAACAGACGTTCCTGCACCTGGAGAAGGCAGGCACAACTGCATCTGCTGGGCTCGCAGGTGAAACATTCAACTAAATCCGGTTAAGTGCGGGAATGTCCAGCTACATCCTACGCAGGGGTGAGATGCTAAAAGTCTGGCTTAACGATGGGGTCCCTCTGCATGACCTCAAGGGGCAAAGTATCTGGGCGTCAGCCTGGATAAGCGACCAGGCCACAGTCTCCAACAGGAGGTACAAGATGGCTCCCCCTCCAAGCTGCCCCTTCGGGTCTGAGAGGAGAGTACACATCGTGCCCACCTGAAGATACGGAGTCAAGATCTGGGAAACAGATGGCTGATGACAGATGCTTCAATACGCTTCACTGTGACCTGAATTATATTCAATTAGAGCTCCAAGTTAACCGCCAAACAATCCGATAGAGACTGGCCAGACCTCTCTCTCTCTCTCTCTCTCTCTCTCTCTCTCTCTCTCTCTCTCTGAAGCTCATCCCATCATTCGGCTGAGAAGACGTCAACATCTTGCTATAAGAACATAAGAAATAAAATAATGATAAAGCTTGACCTAAATATATATACTTGTATCGTAATATAGCCAAAATTGCTTGTCAAAATAAATCAAGGAAGAAAGTGTATGAATATTATTTTTCAAGCAATTATTCCCATGGGAACAATTATTCTATATTAAATAGTGATCCGATCTGATGCCAGATAAAGGAATCCATTTAAGACTTTTGAAAATTGAACAGCATTTTCTTGTGTCTCAAATGGACATTTTCTCGTGTGGAATTTTATATCAAAATTAAACAAAACATTGTCACATTCAAATTTTGTGCTTGGCTGAAATGTTAATCCTCATGGAATCGGATTAGTTTTGACAAGGACTTGGAAAGATTGAAAAGATTGGCGAGATTGGGAAGCTTGGGAAGCCGCATTGCTGCAATGTGAACTAGGCAGAGGCTCAGTCTCATTTTGCCAATTTCAGCAAAGTTCTTTGTCATCGTTAAAGGTGAACCCCACCCTCCCTTTCCCCCCCCCCTCCCCTTACTGCAGAAGTTGCTTCCACTTGAGTTTAATTATATTTTGCTGCTCAAGTTTTGTGCATTGCCTTGTTTATTTTTATTACTTTGTGCGGCGGCTGCCGCCAAGTTTATTTACATCAATGTTATTTTTGCTCTTTTGCTTTTTTTTGCTTTTTTTCAATTTACCTTTATGGCCGAGCTGCCCGGCAGAGGCTGGCCCGGACAGGCTGTGGGCCAAGTTAATTAAGTGCTCAGCTCGGGCAAAGCCGACGACTGCCCGAATTATATTTCTATCAGAGCCGCCATTTGTATGCCCTAGTCGAGGGTATTATGAGTTTGTCACCAAATTTGTCACGCCCAGAAGAACACACAATAGACATATATATTATTGATCAATATCAACAGACGATCCATTCTTTTCCATCTGTCCTTCTACTACAAGAGCTGCATTCTCTACATTCTCCTTCTATTACAAGAGCTACATTCTCTACATTCTCCTTCTATTACAAGAGCTACATTCTCTACATTCTCCTTCTACTACAAGATCTACATTCTCTACATTCTTCTTTTACTACATTCTCTACATTCTCCTTCTACTACAAGATCTATATTCTCCTTCTACTACAAGAGCTACATTCTCTACATTCTCCTTCGACTACATTCTCTACATTATCCTTATTCTACAAGAGCTACATTCTCTACATTCTCCTTCTATTACAAGAGCTACATTCTCTACATTCTCCTTATACTACAAGAGCTACATTCTCAGCATTCTCCTTCTATTACAAGAGCTACATTCTCTACATGCCAATGCAAATGCCATCCTTTATATCGATATATTTTTTCTGCTAATCTCCGGCTGATAGTTTTTCAAGCATAGCTCGAAGATTATTGAAGCTATTAAACTTGGTACGTAGTTTCTCTTCTATTATAAACAGCTGAAGAATATTTGACTTTTAAGACAACTCGTGCCACCATTCACTATTATGTAACAGAAGAGCCTTGCACTTTGCCTTTTTTAGCCTGATTCGACTTTGCTCAAAATATGTTACATTCACAAACTTCACATTCTGCGATTCCATTGGTTCCAGTTGTCGGTAACATGTAAATAAACAGCTAATCGGTTTGATTTGATTTACCAAGGCGCCGCAAAGTTTTCCTTCCAAAAGTCAAATAATACGGTCTCGAAGTAGGGACTCCATTTGATGGATTCTTTGCGGGATGTGGCCATCTTTGAATGTTAAAAACTGTGGGATTAGTAAAATTTGAAATTATAATTGTAATATAATAAGCTGTTTGTGGGAAATATACCAACATTTTTTACAAATGTGAAAAATGTGGTTTCTTATGGGAAATGTACAGGCAACATATTTCACATTCGCAAAAAATTTAAGAAATGTTGACAGGCTATAATATTGGACTATAAGCACCGAAGTTAATCAAGAACAGGGCTGGGCATATTCAATTGCTCGCCTGTGTGTGTGTTTGTGTTGTTATATATCTACATATATACAGAAGAAAGCTCGACTGAGTGTGGCTAGGTGCAGGGTATATCCTAGTCAGGCACCGTCAACTGGAACAGTCTCACGTGTTTTTTCGTTTGGTTTGATGTTTTGAGATTTTGTGATTTTGATTTCCGCGGCGCCAATTGAATGCAGGCCCGGCTAATTCGGCGATTTGCTAATTGAGCCCTTGTGGCTAAGTGGCCAAATATCCGCCAGACCGATGCGATGCGAGTAAAGCGTGGATGAGGCCATCAACGTTTGACGGCGCATTTGAATTTCCGACGCAATTTCCGCTGTCAACACCTTGACAGCTGTCAAACACACACACACACACACAGACACACACACACGCACACACTTAAACACACACCCAAAGCCACTTGACAGTCGTCTCTCTATCTCTCTCTCTCTCTCTCTGTATTTGTTTTTGTATTCGCTGCGTTTTTTGCGTAACGGAATCGGAAATTGTTAGGCTTAATAGACAGTTCGAATTTCCGGTTGACTAGCGGCGCCTTTGAACTGTATGCCCCGCCACGCCACGCCCCGCCCCGCCCGGCACCGCTCTTTTTTTTCGGCTGCGCTCAAATGCGCAATAATCATCATTCTGTGCGGCCGTTCTTCGTCCTTCGTCCTTTGCCCTTTGCCCTTCGCCTGCCTGTCTGTCAGCTCTGTGCTCTCTGTCCTTCGTTTATTCTCCTTTCCTGCCTCTGTTCTTGCTATTTTCCAACTTTATGCATTTCCATGGCTGTTGTCAAAATTCATTGTAAACCCAACACAGTTAATGGGCAAACCCCCCCCCCCCCTCCACCCTCTACCCATTCGCTCTGCTCCTACATATCCCTGAACTTAATTTACAAAAAATATATAAATAAATAAAACCCATCTCAGTGAGAAGAGATTTAGTGAAAACAAATTGCATGGCTCCATAATCTCTATGAAATGAAAATAAAATCATCTATATTATTTTCTATTATTATAAATAAGATATCTATATATATATCTATGTCATCTGTCTAGCTATCTATGTGATCACATAAGTCTCGCAAGAGTGTCAAAAACGTCTTTCACAAAGTTCTTTGAAGAGCTCGTAGACAATCGGAAACAGTTCGTCATTTACAATACTTAAAGTAACTACTGTGTAAATACGAGCTTTGCAGTTCTAACAAATTGGACTATGCCACAATCATCAGTCAGTCAGTCAGTCGGTCAATCAGTCTATCAGTCCATCAGTCACTCAATTAATCGCCGAAAATCCACTTATCAAGTAACACGTTTTGTTTTTAACCCTTTCGCATACATTGCAGATACTAACTAGTCTGTAGGGTAATCAGTCAGTCAATCAGTCAATCAGGCAGTTAGTCAGTCAATTAAACGTTTAAATCCATTTATCTTTAAGATACAGGTTTTATTATTAGTTCTTTTGCATACATTTTCTTGCAGATACTGCATAGAGATCAAGGTATTCAGTCAGTCAATCAGTCAATCAAACGCTTTAAGCCCATTTATCTTTTCAAATAAATATTTTATTATTAATATTTTTGCATTCATTTCATTGCAGATACTGCATAGGGTTCGATATAAGTTGTCGGTCAGTCAACAAGTCAGTCAGTCAGTCAATCAATCAATCAGTCAGTCAGTCAAACAGTCACGCTTTCTATGCATTTATCCTTTGAGATAAGCTCTTGACTATAAATTCTTTTGTGTACATTTTCTGGTAGATATTGCGTAAACTTCGCGGCAGTCAGTCAGTCAGTCAGTCAATCAATCAATCAAACGCTTTATCTCTTATCATATGTTTATTAATTGTTTGACATACCTTTTCCTTTCAGATACTGCGTAGAGTTCGAGGTAATCAAGGCTTCGAAGGCCTGCCACAAGCTGCCGCCCTACAATCTAATGCTTGAAGGTGAGTTCTACGACAAATGTGTACAGTGAAAACTCGCCTGGGCGGACAGCGACTGTCGTGTAACAGAGATAAAAAGAGAGAGAGAGTGTGCATTGGGAGAGTTTTCACTGTACAGTCTATATCAGATTGCCTTGAATCGCCGATTAATCCGTGAACTTTTGCCTCTTGCCACAGGCGATCGCATTACGGTGCGCTGTGACCTCGAGGCGCTCGTCCAGGATGCGGCAACAACTGCAGCAGGTGGCAAGCAGGGCAGCCGAGGAGCAGCTACAACCACAACGACTACAACACGCAAGACCCCAATGGCGCAGCCGTATTCGATGGATGATGGCGACGACGCCGAGCGGCTGGACAGCAGCAGCAGCAGCAACAACGAGGATGACAACGAGGACGACGAGGAGGAAACTACTGAGGAGGACGATGCTCAGAACATGCTCGAGCCTGAAGCTGATGCGGAACCGGAACCGGAATCGGAACCGGAATTGGGCAGCAACGAAAGTCACGAGTACAAGCATCAGCGCCAGTCGCATCGTCCACGCTCCGCGACGTCCAAGCGAAGCGCCGCTCCAATCTTGCCGCCGGCGCTCCAACAGCAGCAGCAGAAGGAGCAGGAGGAGCAGCAACAGCTGCTGCTGCTGAGCTATCATTGCCGCGGCGAGGGTCTGTCGGGGCGCACGACACGCTGGAGCGCGCTGCCGGCGCCGTCGTGTCGCGGCAAATGGCTGCGTCTGACCATCGGTCCGCCCAAGAAATGCAACCACGCGCAGTTCATCTTCGTCTAAAGCAGCAAAAGGGCATTGCGTCGTCGCTTTTTTTTTTTGATGATGAACCATCCGATTGAGACATCAATATATAGTATGGTATCAGTATGTGTAGGGTAAACGCGTAGTCTATGTAGCGAGTACACAGTTCCCAAGCCCGATTCCCGATTCCCAGACCCCAGCCCCAGCCCCAACCCCAACCCCAACCCCAACCTCAGCTCTAGCCCCAGCCCCAGCCCCAGCCCCGAATTCGACTACCCTGAACGGTTGCTGCCACGCGCTCTCTCATCCATATCATATCCTAGCATCATATCGAACTAGCAGCTGTCTATAACACAGCAAGAGCCCCTTCCCCAACCCCCCCCCCCCCCCACACACCCACACACACCCACACACACACACACACTGAGACAAGAGCTCGCATATAAGTGTTAAAACTTTAAGAAAGTTAATTAAGAATTGAAATAAAGTGTACGTGTTTTTTTTTGTCTCCACAAGCCCAACTCTCTCTCTCTCTCTCTCTCTCTCTCACTCACTCTATGCATAATCAGTGTACCAACAAAAAAATAAGAACACTTTTCTTCGGGCTCCGAAGACGAAATACCCTTACAGAAATAGATAAATATGACATGGTTTTTAGACACGATTGTTCCAATTACAGCTATATGGCATGCTATATTACATATAACTATATAACTACATAAGTTTATAACAGAAATAGATGAAGCATTGTTAGAGAAAAGAAAATGTTTGACATCAAAAACCATATTTTCCACTGATTTTTCCCATTGAACCCTTTAGTATAGTTGTCCGATATTGGAAAGATTTTGCTCATATATTGGGAGCTTGATATGAATAATAAATATGGAAGTTTGGTCAAGATATCAAGATAATTTCGACAGATCATTCCTCTGGCAGCTTTATGATAAAGTAGTCCGATCCGTCCGACTTAGACATATATGCTCTATACTCTATAACATCAGATAGGTCTCCCACATTTGAGGACACAATTTGAATATCCTCTGCAAGGGTATTTATGGAGAGAGTGCAAAAATGGCTCGCTATTTACACGCAATTTCAATTGGTGTCCGTTGCGGCGAGTTCTTACTGTACCAACGTTGTAAATAGATCATTTACCCAGAGTCCAAAGCTGGAAATGACACAACACAATTTACCGACAAGTCTTGTCCAAGAACAAGAAGAAGAAGAAGATGATACAACTTACTAACTAATAAAACGATATACCCATAATTATATTGATATTAGCGCCACGCCCACCACCCGACACCCCGCAAGCCCCTTTAGCATAGATATATATATGTGTGTATTCCCACTAGGGATTCGATTCCAGGCAGCGCACTTAGCATGCCCGCATAGAAATGAATGTACCCCATCCAGATAGCCATAAGAGATGCACCCACACATACATGTGCAGCAACAATTTGTAGTGTATGTGCTGCCGTCGGCTTAGACATATGCAATTAACAGTTAATATTACTTAAACACTCGCCCTTGCATGCATGTGTATATCATGCTTAACCATTAGCTCTTCATTTTACTTGCAAAACTAGTCCTAAGCACACACACACACACCCGCGCACGCACACACACACACACTCACACACACGCGCAGTTCCCATCGCATAAGATCAGAATGCGTTTCTTCCAACTGATGTCAACTCTTCTCAACTCTTCTCAACTCTTCTCAACTCCTCTCAACTCTTCTCAACTCTTCTCAACTCTTCTCAATTCTTCTCAACTCTTCTAAACTTTTCTCAACTCTTCTCAACTCTTCTCAACTCTTCTCAGCTCTTCTCAATTCTTCACTCGAAGAACAAAGCAAGCTTTTCTTTCCTGCTTTTGTAATATTTATAGATGAAGTATTCTACTAATTGAAGATTATTTTAAAACTGGTAATCTTAATTAAAACACATTCATAATTCTTAACACTTCTCAAGTCTTTTCAATTCTGCTCAACTTATCTCAACCCTTCGCAACTCTTCTCAACTCTTCTCCTCTCTTCTCAACTCTTTGCAACTCTTCGCAACTCTTTTCAACTTTTCTCAACTCTTCTCAACTCCTCTCAACTCTTCTCAACTCTTCTCAGCTCTTCTCAATTCTTCTCAACTCTTCTAAACTCTTCTCAACTCTTCTCAATTCTTCACTCGAAGACCAAAGCAAGCTTTTCTTTCCTGCTTTTGTAATATTTATAGATGAAGTATTCTACAAATTGAAGATTATTTTAAAACTGGTAATCTTAATAAAAAGACGTTCATAATTCTTAACACTTCTCAAGTCTTTTCAATTCTTCTCAACTTATCTCAACTCTTCGCAACTCTTCTTAATTCTTCTCAACTCTTCTCAACTCTTCTTAACTCTTCTTAACTCTTCTCAGCTCTTCTCAACTCTTCTCAATTCTTCACTCAAAGAACAAAGCAAGCTTCTCTTTCCTGCTTTCGTAATATTTATAGATTAAGTATTCTAAAATTTCACGAATATTTTAAAACTGGTAATCTTAATAAAAAGACGTTCATAGTTGTATTTGTGGCATAGTAGAAATATTTATCCAAAGCGTTCTTCTTCGGCTCATGCTAGAACTCTTCAATAAGCGTTTCTTCTAGGCGATAAGCAAGCGTTTCGCCTGGGAGATAGAATAGCGATAGCGGCCAATTTCTTTGCTCACTTTGCGACCGGCGATGCCAATATCTTTTGTCTGCCATCTAACTTCGAAAGCCATTCTCAAGTATCGCCACACTATCTTCCCGACGATAAGGAACACCTTTGCAGTCACATACTTTAGAGCATAGATAAGTTCCCAGACTTTCAGCTGAAATCGAGAACCGAGTCTAAGCGGCACAGTGAACCCCACTTTATGTGTCCAACTGGAACTAAGCACACGCACACACACGCACACACTCACCCATGGATAGATATATATCAGAAAGCAAAATAAGAAAAATTAAAAACTACAATAAAAATGTTCTTTGGGCTAAAAAAAAAATTATAAATAAACTTTAAGGCACATACGAAAGAAAATCCAGAAAAACTAAAATAATTATTCGACTAATGTAATGAAAATTGAGCATTCACAATAAAGAAACAAATATAATTTTGAAAACAAAGCCGAAGATGCGTAAACGCTTTTCATTTTTTTTCTTGTCGCGACTCGTTTCGCTCCATGGCGAGACGGGGGGGGCGGGGCGGAGCGGGGCGCCGCGCTCAGCTGATTTCGGACTTACCGTTTGACCCAATTGCGCAGGTGCCACGGGCCACGAGCCAAGCGGCAAGAGGCAAGAGGTAAGAGCTGTGAGCCAAGTGTAGGCAAATGCCAGCAACAGCTGCCGGTTTTGAAATTTCTCTGCGCCAGCACAGACAGAGAAGGCAACAAAGCCAAAGACAGAGACAGCTAAACGCATAGAAAAAGAGAAAGAGAGAGAGAGAGAGAGAGAGAGAGAGAGAGAGAGAGAGAGAGAAATGGAGTTTCAGTTTCAGAGTCGCCTTCAAAGTCAAAGTCAGGGCTAATTGATTAGTCGCCAAGTAAACGCAAGCCGCGGCAGACGTGGATTGGATTGGATTGGATTGGACTCTTTTAGCTCTCCCGACAGCTGAGCAAGGTTTCGGATTTTCATTTCAATCACTTTGTTTTTTTTCTTTTATATTTGTTTTTGGTGCGTTCGCCGATGATTCATCAAGCAATCGGTCGGTCAGTCGGTCAGTCGGCCCGTCAGTCTGGTCCGGTCTGGGTCTGTAGACCTTACAGTTCTTACAATTGTTGTCGTTGCCACGAAGAAAGTTGTCTTCAAACATGTTAATTGTCTTTGGTGCGGTCGCTCTGCGTTGCCCAAGTGGTTTCTTTTGACAATCCATCAAAAGAAACGAAAACCATCTACATAATCCAAATAAAGAACCTGACTATAACGGAAAAAGAAAAAAAAAATGAGAAAGAAATTTCGAAAATTCATATTAGAATCGTACCTTAACAAAGTTCGAATAAATTCCAATAGAATGCGAAAGTAACTCCGAAAAATCATATTTTAGCATAGTTCGAAAAATTCCAATAAAATGCGAAAGTAACTCCGAAAATGCATTCTAATATCGTTAACAAAGGTCGAATAAATTTAAATAAACTGCGAAAGTTACGTCGAAAATTAATTTTAAAATCGTATCCTAACATGCGAAACTAACTCCGAAAATACATTTTAATATCGTATTTTAAAATAGTTCGAATAAACTCCAATAAAATGCGAAACCAACTCCGAAAAAGCATATTAATACCGTATCTTAACGTAGTTCGAATAAATTCCAATAGAATGCGAAAGTAACTCCGAAAAATCATATTAAAATCGTATCCTAACATGCGAAACTAACTCCGAAAAATCATATTGAAATCGTATCTTAGCATAGTTCGAAAAATTCCAATAAAATGCGAAGTAACTCCGAAAATGGATAATAATATCGTATCTTTATAAAGTTTACAGGTAGATATATAGAAATGCCATCATCGCACGGATTGGGTGCCCTGGTGCTGCTGATGGCCACCACGATGGGCAGCGGCGAGGCGCTGAGACGGAACTTTGATGCCCGCCAGACGAGCGTCAACTCGAACATTCCGCTGTGGAAGCAACGCGTAAGTAGAGCCCCGCCGAGCAGGCAGCAAGTGTGCAAGAGTGCCAACTAAAGAGCAGCCATTTTGCCGCAGGCCTGCGAGAAGACGCAAAAGTACAAGATGAACTCGCACTACACCTGCGACGAGAAGGGCGACGTGAAGTGCCTGCCCGGCTGGCAGGGCGATCTCTGCCAGGTGCCGATGTGCCGGCGCGGCTGTGATCCCATGAATGGTAAGCAAGAGCGCCCCAAACAAATCTCAATAGCTCAATCCGCATCTGATGCTCTCCGCAGGCTATTGCCAGCGACCCGGCGAGTGCCGCTGCCGGATCGGCTACACCGGGGAGCAGTGCGACAAGTGCATACCGCTGCCGGGCTGCCAGCACGGCACCTGCAGCAAGCCGTTCGAGTGCATCTGCAAGCCCGGCTGGGATGGCCTCTTCTGCACGGAACGTAAGTGGGCCACAGATTGGACACCAGTCGATTGGTAATCTCTCTCTCTCTCTCTCTCTCAGCCAGCTGCCGCAGCGGCTGCCACAGCACGAGGGGCTACTGCGAGGCGCCCGGCGAGTGCCGCTGCCGGATCGGCTGGGCGGGCCGCAGCTGCAGCGAGTGCGCCACAATGCCGGGCTGCCAGCACGGCAGCTGCAACAAGCCGCTCGAGTGCAACTGCCAGCCGGGCTATACGGGCCTGCTCTGCCAGACAGGTGAGTAGCGAGTCCCTGACCATTCGCATCCTTCTCCCTGACCATTGCTTCTTGCAGCGCTCTGCGCCTCCGACTGCAGCAAGCAGCATGGCTATTGCCGCAAGCCTGGCGAGTGTCGGTAAGTGTGTCGAGCGACCTTTGACCCCTGGCAAGCGGAACTACAACCTTCTCTCTCTCTCTCTTCCTTGCACACTCTTCTGGCAGCTGCAAGGTGGGCTGGACGGGCGCACAGTGCGACAAGTGCTTCCCCTATCCCGGCTGCGTCAACGGCGACTGCGAGGCGCCCTGGGAGTGCAACTGCCGGCCCGGCTGGGGCGGCATGCTCTGCGATGAAAGTGAGCGAACTCTCTAGCTCTCCAGCTCTCCATTACCAGTTTCTCACCTCTCGCTTCTCTCGCTTTCAGGGCTGAGCTACTGCCTCGACAATCCGGAGACCTGTGCCAATGGTGGCAAATGCGTCTCGCTGAGCCGCGAGGATGGCAGCTATCGCTGCCAGTGCCGCCAGGGCTACCTGGGCAAGAACTGCGAGATATTGGATGAGTTTCTGCTGACCTCTGTGGCGCCACCGCGCATTACGCCGCCGCCGCTGGAGCCGGCGCCGGCGCCTGATGACAACAGCAGCCACACGGAGCTGGCAACAAAGTTGCCAACGCTGGGATTAGGCGAGGCCACAGCTGCACCAACAACAACAGCGAGGACAACAGCAATGGGCGAGGCACTGGCACTGGGTCTGGGGCTGGGCGCAGAGACCGCAGCCACACGCCTTGCCAGCCACAATGCGTCTAATGAAGCGTTAAGCGGCATTGCAGCTGCTGAGGAGGCGACAACAACGAGGCGTGCCACACCCTCAACAGCAACAGCAACAGCAGCAACAACAACAACAGCACCACAAACACAAGCTGAGGCTAATGCAACAAGTGGGTCGCCATCTCCCGCTCCAGTTTCAGCTCCAGCTCCAGCTCCAGCAGGGGCACAGCTCAGTGCACACAGTGAGCAGCTGACGGCGACGACGACGACGGCGCCCGTCAAGGCTGATGAGGGCGACGAGGATGAGGACGAGGAGGATGAGGACGAGGACGAGGATGAAGATGAGGAGGACGAGGAGGAGGATGGCGACGATTATGATGATGAGGATGATGACAATGATCAAATCATACCAAATATTATTTGAGCAACGGGCTGACAAATTGCCCGGCATTTGTTTTTTGTTTTTTTTTTGTGTCATTTATATTTTTTTTATATACAGCATATTTATTTAGCTAATAAATTATTTATTTATTTATTACGTTTTTTTTTTGTCACTTTGATCAGATTTGATTTGTTGAAAACATGCGCAAGCACACGGCCAAAAATTCAAAAGACTCGAGGCAAAAGAACTTTGAGATGCGTTGGAATTTTAAGCATTACGAACTCCGAAAATCCTTGAATATCAATTGATAGTGAATTTGCCAAGATTTTCCTTTTAAGTAAATTTCCTCTTTAAAAAGTGCGCTGGATTCACAGCTCTATCGATTGACATTCAAGTATTAAACAGATCTAAGGATTAAACAGACTCTATTATCTCGAAAACTAACAGGACGATTAAAATGTCCTTTGGGCCGCACAAAGTTCAATTGATGACGATTTATTTGACACTCGACCCGATAGGTTCCTTAAGATTTTAGCCGAGTTATGGCTATTATACGAATATTCCTTAAATAAAACTAGCTTCCGTAAATCCTTGAATGTCGATCTTTAGTCCTTTAGTCCTGAATGAAATTTCCTATTTAAAAAGTGCAACTCTATTGACAGACATTCAAGTATATGGCACCTATCTAAGGATAAAACAGATTAATCATCAATCACACCTTATTATCTCGATAACTTACAGGACGATTAAAATGTCCTTTGAGTCGCTTAATGTTCAGTTCATGACGATTTATTTGACACTCAACTCGCCAGGTTCCTTAAGAATTTATCCAAATTATGGCCATTATTCGAATATTCCTCTAAGCTTTAACTAGACAATATTCTGGCGGATTGTCAAAGAACATCGCGCGATGTCAAGGACCAATTGCACCGATTTATATAAAAGGATGAAGGATTCATTTAAAAATCACCAGCAATAAATGCTCGATATCTCGAGAACTAACAGGACGATTTCAATGTCCTTTAACCAGTTGATAGTTTTATTTGTTCGGATAGAAAATTCGCAAAGAATATAATGCTAGCTTTATGAAGAGCATAAAGTATGGTGAGCCTGATAGAAAGGCGACTTTGGTGTATGGTAAATGTATATGGTATATGTGGAATTGTATTTATTTACGGTAATTTAGACTAAACACACAAACAACTGCAACGAATTTCGTTTAACAAATTGTCAAAAAAAAAAAAGAGTTTATATATATTTAAGATTCGCTTAAGCTTAGCAGAGGGAAAAGAATTCATAGCAGGGATATGGAATGAAAGAGCCGGGGCCAAATACTCGGATTGCGATTGCACATTGTTGCTTAAAATTAGGACACAAATTGTTCAGATATAATGCCAGCATATAGGCATCTATATGACTGCATGGAAGAGGCGAAAGAATTGGAATATGGCCGATAAAGTGTTGGAGGAGGTTGGGTATTGGGAAAGATTCTGCTCCCTTATGGGCTTAGGCACAGGTATCAATATATATGGACTTAAAAATCGAGACAAAAAAAAAAGTGTGGGGAATATTATAATAATAATAATAATAATAGTAATAATAGTTATAATAATAATAAACATATTCGTAATATTCGTTGCATCTAGTTTAGCTCCCGCTTGTCGCGCTGACTGATCTGGGCCATGGTGATGTATTGGCGCACCAGGCGCGAGATCTCGTGCGCCTGCTCCGTCTGGACGCGTATGACGCGCTGTTGCATTAGATTGCCCACCTTCATGTCCAGGAAGAGGGCGCCATCCTCGGAGCGCACCTGCGAACAGAAAGAGAGAGAGAGAGAGAGAGAGAGAGAGAGAGCATGAGCTGGGACAATCGATAGATGGATAAATTTGTCGTTTGCATACCTTGCGCGTGGAGATGACCTCCATGAAGCTCCAGTGCTGCAGTGTTTCGTGTGTGTTTGGATCCAAGAATAGCACTCCGCGTCTATTCAAGGCCAATATCAGATCCCGCCACATGGGACTGTGATTGTCCTCCACGTGCGGCCCCTCCTCGGCCCAGATGCGTTTCACCGCAAAGAAACTGCTGCCGAACAGGGGCCAGGCGGCCAGCACGTTCAAGAACTGCGCCTTCACCTGCCCCGGACTCAGACCGGCCACCTGCGGCCACGCCGACTGCACCAGGCCCACCCACTGGGCGGGCCGGATCTCGCGTATGCCCAGCGCCGGCTTGGGCAGCAGAAATTTGATCTCCTTCATGGCCGGCACATGGCTCAGATCGGCGGCCCGATGCAGCAGGGCAGCGATGCGCGCCATATCCCGTACCATCTCCGGCATTGGCACACCATTGCCGGGCAGCTCCAGGAGCAGACCCTCCAGATAATCGGGCGCCACCTGATTGAAGAGCACCTCCACGTACAACGGCATCGGCGCCGGTTCGCGCTTGAGCGCAAAGTGCCAGACGGAGCGACAGAATATCAAGTAGAATGGCTGTCCGGACTTAAGCAGCTCCGTGGTCACGTCCAGGATGTACTCATCGGCGGCCAGAGGCATGGTGAAGGCGTCGCCCTGAACGATGCAGTAGAGCGAGAACTCCTGCTGCTCGGCCTCCGACTCGACGCCGAGCAGGGCGCACAGCTCGGCAATGACATCGGCGACCACTGTGGAGCAGCGTGTGTTGACCACACGCTCCGCTCCGCCGGGCAGCCTATAGATCTGGCGACGGGCCGAGCGACCCGCCGAGACGGCTGTCACCTCCTCGACGCTGGGCACATTCTTGCGTCCGCCGCAGCGCGCCGTTTTCCGGAGATTGGTTAGGCAGACGGCGGCGGTGCCATGGCACGAGCGACGGCGATCCGAGGCGGCCGATGTCAGATGCTCCATCAGATAAGGACGCAGTGCGTCCGAGCAGCCAAAGTAGGCCGCCAATATGCTGAGCAGACGCCACGCGCGCTGCGAGCTGTCCGGACAGGGCGAACGATTCGCCGTCGTCTGCTTCATCAGCTGGCAGTAGACCTCATCCCGCAGCGCCAGATACTTGTGACAATGCTGCAAAAGCAAAGGATTTTAGCAACAGAGCTGCACGCAATTGATTGAAGGGACCTACCATTAACACGGTATAGACGCACTTGACCTCGGTCAGCTCCGGATCGAGCGGTATGTCGCCGCAGTAGCGCAGAATGCAATCGAAACATTCGAGCGCCAGCGGTGCCAGATCATTGGGCAGACGCAGCAGGGGCAGGCGTATGGCATGGCCCTGCCACTTGACCAGCTCCGCATAGGAGCGATTCGCAGCCGACGACTGATGACGCTCGTGATGACGATCCGCGTCGCGCAGCTGACTGCAGGGTAGGTGGGGAAGAAGGTGAGTGTCGTAAATGGGAGATTATATAGGATGGATGCACTTACTCATTGCGGAAATGCTGCATGGCGAACTGCAGCAGCGAGTACTTGGTCACAGATGGAGGCGTGCCGCTGCCATTAAGCTCATCCTGCAACATATAGTTGCCATCCAAGTCATGATGCGCTGCCTGTTGCTGCTGCTGTTGCTGCTGTTGCTGTTGCTGCTGCTGCTGGTGGCCATTGGTCAGGGAGCTGGGCTGCTGACCGGCATTCGATTTGCGCGCCGAGTGCAGATAGCTCTGCTGCTTCATATAACGCTGCTGATCCGCCAGCTGCTGCTCCTCGGCGGCATCCTCCAGCTGCTGTTGCTGTTGCTGATGATGCAGCTCCACTTGTTGTTGCTGCTGCTGCTGCTGCTGCTCCTCCTGGTTGCCATTGGAGTGGGCGTGCTCCTGGCGCTGGGCATGCGCCTGGCGCGCCTCCAGACGCTCCAGCGGCACGTTCAGCGTTTGGGCGGCGGCGCGTGCGCCCGACGACAGCGTCGATGCCTTCGATTGCGACTGGAAGAAGCAGAAAAAGCACAATGAATGCAATTTGTTAATTGTCTCTGTCGGCCGGAGTCAATGGCTTGTGAAAGTTGCTGGGCGCCTTTTTGGCCAACCGGTCGCCCAGCCAAGCCAAGCCAAGCCACGATGACGACGACCGGTTTGAATGGGGCGCGCCTATCATGATGTTGATGATGTGTGTGTCGTGTAAATATGATATATGGATGGTATATGCTACAGTGAAAGCTCGCTCAAGCGAACACTCATGCTTATTATATTCTGTAACAGGCAGAACGAGGCATTCCCAAGACGCGAATAATCCAATTAAGTTTCTATTTACATAAATATCGATTTTGAGACATGTGGTTTAATGCGTTATCGATAAATATCGATTTTGAGACATGTGTTTTAAGCTCTAATCAAAGATTAGAAGATGTTATTAAACAAAATTGGCTGAATAAGTTACTATATTGGTATATATCGAAAAATATCGATTTCGAGAAGTGTGTTTTAATGCTATATCGATAAATATCGATTAGACACGTGTTTTTAAGTTATTATCAAAGATTAGAAGAGTTTATTAAACAAAGTTGCCTGAATAAGTTGCTATATCGATTTTGAGACATGTGTTTTTATGCCATATCGATAAATATCGATTTTGAGACATGTGTTTTTATGCTTCAACGATAAATATCGATTTTGAGACGCGTGTTTGAATGCTATATCGATAAATATCGAATAGACATGTGATTTTAAGCTATTATCAAAGATTAGAAGAGAACAAAATTGATTAAATAAGAAGCTATATCGATATATATCGATTTTGAGACATGAGTTTTTAAGCTTTACTCGAAGATTAGAAGAGTTTGTTAAGCCCAATCGGGTGCTTAGGTCCGCGTGTCAGGCTTCAAATGACCTATGTATACTTAATAAACTCTATGGTTTACCTCCGCCCAGAGATATAGCTGTTTTTACATAAAGTTTGATTACCGCCCGCATGATTTCTACAGCTGAAGTTTGCTCCAGATATTGTGAGAGGCAGAAAAGTGTTCCCCATGAAGGATTTGCTCCTTCTTTTAGAGCTGAGGACATGATATCGACATATTTACTGCCTTCAACAGAAAGACTTGGACTTGGGCAGAGTTTCATCAAAATGAAACTAAACTTTGCATAGAAACAGACAGACAGATAATCTGATTTAATGGGATCGTGTGACGGCTTCACCCACTCCGCAAGTAATAAGAGATTAGAAATAACAAATACCCCCCACAGAGCTCAAAAGCAGACATAGAGGTGCTTGGAGATGGTTTTATATAAAAGTTTCATTTCCAACCGACGGTTCCTGCAGCTAGAGTTTGCTTCAGATATTGCCAAAGGCATAAAAGTGTCCCACATAAAGGATTTCTTCCTTCTTTTAGAGGACATGATATCCCGTTTCGACATATTTAATGCCTCCAACGGAAAGTCTTGCACTTGGGCAAAGTTAAGAGACTACTCTGCATAGAAACAGACAGACGGATTATCTGACATATATACTATTTAATGGGATCAAAGATTGTAAATAACAAATTTGGCTGGCTTAAGGCGTTGTCCATTCGTGGAGCTTTCACTGTACTATTTGATTTGGGGGGCTGGCTGGGTTTTCTTTCGGCAACGAAAGTGCTTGCCAATATATTTTTCACTTTTATTGCCAAATGCAATTCGGCGCGCGTTGCTTTCCTTTCCATTCCACCCACTCAAAATACAGCTCACACAGCCCACACACACCTCCCCCCTCCTCGCTAACCTCCTCGACTCAGCCAGCTTGTTGAAGCTAACAAAAAAAACACCCACTGTTAAATAAAAATTTGTTGCATTTTGCACACGCTCAAGCGCATAAAACAACAACAACAACAACAACTACAACAAAAATGGAGGTGAGTAAAAGTTTGTTGTTGCTGTTGTTGTTGTTTATGAAAGCGGAAATCTTTCACCGATCAGTCATGTTGCCTCGTACGAAATATCGCACTTCTAATTGGCCTACTCTTTTATTCATTTTCATTTCGATTTCAATTTATATTTCAATTAACGCATTAATATGCAATAAAGGCCAACACGCCACCTGGCGACGCAACAAGGCACTATCAGGCATGTACAAAATGGCGCCACGATTCCCCATTCAAAATATCGACTAGTACAGCTGGAGATGGCAAATTATGAAATACACATAAGTGACCATGGAGGAGATGTAAAGATTGAGAAAAAGAAATAGCAGAAAGTAAAGTGCATAAGAGGAGATGACGATTCTCGCTTGAGTATAATGTGACCATGGAGGACAAGTAAGCTGAAGAGAGAGAAAAATCATACGGCCATGGAGGACATTTGATAATGACGCAAAAGAAGACGAAAGTAAAGTGTATAAGAGGAGATGACAAATCTTGCTTGAGTATAATGTGACCATGGAGGATAAGTAGGCTGAAGCCACAAAATCATGTGACCATGGAGGACATGTTCCAATGATGCAAAAGACGAAGAAAGAAAAGTGCATAGGTTATTGACAACCGTTGTCTGAGTAGCATGTGACCATGGAGAACAAGTAAGCAATAACGTGACCATGAAGGACATGTGTATGTATTGGATATAAAAAGGAAAAGACAAAAATTTAAGCAAATCAAATGATTGTGAATAATAAACATAACAACAGGTGATCAGAAACAACATATGACCATGTGTCCTCCATGGTCCATGTAAAGATGGAGCGAAAGAAGAAGAAAGCGCATGTTCAGATGATAGCTGCTGATTGAGTATTATGTAACCATGGAGGACATGCGATATGAAGAAGGCACACACAACTGAAGTAGAATAGAAGTGAAGAAGAATGGAAGATATATGTAAAAAAATATAATATATAATATAATATAATCTCTATATATAAAACTGTTTGTTCTGACTGACTGACTGATTGACTTATTGACTGACTGATTGGTGATCAACGCACAGCTCATACCGTAAGAGCTAGGAAGCTGAAATTTCGACAGTAGTTACCTTATGTGATTAAGGCGCACGTTAAGACATAACCCGGGAATTCCACTCGCATGTGTGGAAAAATCGAAAAAACGCAAACTCATTTTCAAAGTTCTTTGTTCGAATTCATTTAAGGGGTGTTTCACACTTCTCGAAAAAACACATACTTTCACACATACATACATACATATATAAAGACAGACACACATACATACTTACATACATACAGACATATGTACATACATACATACCTACAGACATACATAACATACATACATACATACCTACATACATACATACACACATACATACATACATAACATACATACATACACACATACATACACACATACATACATACATACATACATACCTACATACCTACATACCTACATACATACATACATACATACATACATACATACATACATACATACATACATACATACATACATGCATACATACATACATACATGCATACATACATTCATAAATACATATAAATGTATATACATACACACACAAAAAAAAACCAAAAAAAGAAAACAACAAGAAAATCACTACCCTACTACTTAGCTTAGCATGAGAAACTGCTGAGCCTACTTGAATTCTTGAGAATCGAGGAGTAAAGCACTTGGTAGAAATTCGTTTTATTTAAATTTGCAGCACAGCGACAAATCAGATTGGTCTTCGTTTGGTATTAGAAAACAAACATGCATGCACACATATATACATAAAAAATACATACGTGCATAAAGACACTAACACCCACTTGCCCACACACACACACACACACACACACATACATACACACACACGCATATATAATACTTATATGCCTTCAAACAAAATACTTGTATAATATTTAATAATATAATAGTTGCCACAAGAGAGAACGGCTTCTTTGGCACGCCGACGATTCAATACCCTTGCAGATAGAAAACAGAAAGTTTTGTCAAACCGAATCTCATTTTACGATTCTTTGAATAGAACTAAAAATATGATATAGAAGCTCGCAGCAATCAGACAAGCTGCTGCAGCATCCGAACGGGTCCAGGGTCCAGGCTGAGAGGCTACACCCCGGCGACCTATCTACGAGGCGGATTATTAGAATACCTTCTACCCTTGCATTGTAAGGATCCCTATGCTAATGTATATATAAATAATATCTATTTGAATATCATATAAGTTACATACTTGTAACTATACCTGCTGCCCTAATTCATTCGCTTGGTAGAGATCGCAAGGTGCATATTTCAGCAGTTCGCTGCTTTAAAGAATTAGATCATCGAGACTTTAATACAAGTGAAGAGAGTAAATTAAATAATAAAATTAACCGCTAAGCACGAAGGATCTGCCGACAGATAGTCGATAGTTATCAAGTGAACATGGAGGACATTAAAAACTAAGCACCTGGAAGTAGTAAGTCGCGTGACTATGGAGGACACGTGAAGATACGAAAAGGAAGCAATTAGTCAAAGCATTTGCTGAGTACAGCCGTCCATGGAGGACGGCATGTCAGAAGACAGCTTCAAGAAGCAGTTAATCGTGGAAGCATGGCGGAAATGTCATGAATATTTATGGCTTCAGGTGAGCATGGAGGACCTGAAACTAAACAAGTTAAATGAGCAAAGAAACTAGAATGGAGACCATGGAGTACCAACATATAAACGAAGTGAGCATGGAGGACACGTCAAGATTATAAGCATTTAGGTTGTGTACTAACGGCAATTGAATGAACCTCGATGGTCCTCCATGGTTCAGCTATCTGCCAAAAGAGAGGCGGACAAGTTAACCGGTTGGCGGACGGCTGACAAATTGATGGCAATTCTTCAATATCATCTGTGAATTCTAACGATTGCGGCTGACAGTTCCCGTGGGCTTTATCGCTGTGCTGAATTCAGAGCACGAGCTGACAGTCAATAAATAAGCCAAATGATTGCAGATCGAGAAGCGGTCTGCACAAATCGGAGATGCAACTCGAACTCGAACTGGAGCTGAAGCTGGAGCTG